CGAAACAAAACAAAAACACACACAGTCAAAATTTCACAGTAAAAAGCTTTGCAGCACGAGGGAGGCAAAAGGCACGTGGATCTCTGTCACTTCCAGGCCAGCCTGGTCCACAGATTAAGTTTCAGGCAAGGCTACCGAGAAACCCTGTCTTGAAAAAACAAAACAAAAAAATGTATAGTAAACTTTTTATACTTACTATCCAGATCCTTTTCATAAATTGAATTGAAGCCAGAGGATGTCAGTGGTTAAGAGCACATGCTGTTTTGTTTTTGAGACATGATTTTACTGTGTAGCCTTGGCTGTCCTGGACTCCTTTGTAGACCAGGCTGGCCTCCAACTCAAAGAGATTCACCTGCCTCTGCCTCTCTGAGCACTGGGATTAAAGGTGTGCACCATCAACTGGCTCACATTGCCTTTTTGTTTTTATGAGACAGAGTAACCCAGACTGGCACTGAAAAAATTGCTTTATAGCTAAGGATGACCTTGAACTCCTAACTTTCCTAATTCCACTTCCTAAGTGCCGTGATTACAGGCATATGCCACCACTCCTGATTCTTCTTTCTCCTTTTCCTCCTTCTCCTTCTTCGTAGTGCTGAGGGCCTCAGACATGTTGGGCAATGTTCTATCACTGTGTTATATCCTCAGTGCCACATTGCTTTCACAGTGAAGTTAATGATATTTTGTATATGCTAGGTATGTAACAACCAGGCTTTTCCTGTGTTTTAATTTTTTATTAAAAGTAAATACATGCCCCCTTGTGGCTACATGTTTACCTCCACTTTCATTCTTGAACGCAGCAGCCCCTGTCACATGCTCTCTGTTTACAGTTACACACACACACACACACACACACACACAGAGAGAGGCGTGCAAAGAGTATATTAGGTCTCAGACTCAGACCTAGGACAAACTGGCTAACTGAGGTGCCTATTAACATATTAAAGCAGATGCCTTCTGCCAGCCTCTCTCAGAATCACCAGTACCTGTTAGGGAGACTTCCTGGCTGCCACACCCCGCCCCTACCCTCAACCTTTCTAGCCCCTGAGCTTTACTGCTCTTCACCCAGCTTCTCCTCCTTATATAACCCAGCCATTTTGGCTATGCTGGTCTCTTGCCTTCTTGGTCTCCTGGCTAGCCTCTGGCCTGTTGGCCCCAGGTTCCTTTCTCTTCCTCTTCTGTCACATGACCCAGTTCAGCCTGCTAGGCATGTTCAGTCTGGTCTCTTCCAGATGCCTCTGCCTGTGCTCTCCCTCTTCCCTATAATAAAAACTTTAACCCCTTAGGAGGAGTCATGTCTTCCTGTTATTTCTATTCATTCATTCATTCGTTCGTTCGTTCATTCATTCATTCATTCATTCATCTGGTGCTGAAACCCAGGAGGAAGGAAAAAAATGTGGAAAACCAAAATCTCAATGGAGAGAATTCCCATCAGCCTCCTTTTATTTTATGTTTTTCATCCACCCCCTTCTCCTTTACCTCCACCCTCGCCCCTCTCTGTCGTCTCTGGGCTCCCCATCAGATTCCAGAAAACAACAACCAACAAAAACAAAAATTAAAAAAAAAAACAAAAACCTTCTATGCTAAATTACTTCAGGCCATATGTGTAGCTCTGCTTCTCAGAGATGGACTTAATTGTGATAATAGAGATCCGTCTAGGGTTGGTAAACACCAGTCAGAAGCACCCAGGCACAGACCCCGTAACATTTCTTACACACACACACACACACACACACACACACACACACAGAGAGAGAGAGAGAGAGAGAGAGAGAGATCACCAGCAGTCACATTACTTACTGGATGTGTACCTAATTAGTTTCCATGTGGACAGATTGTACAATTCCATATCCAAGTGTGTATCAAAGATCAATTAGTGTCTCAATATCATTTAGTAACTATGTAATTGCATGGGCTCCATACTCCAAAGGGTCCCATGATCAGTTTCATGCATGGCTGTTGTTATCTTGAAATTCATAATCTATTGAATGAGGCATTCTGCATTTACTTTTCCCATTAAGTCCCACAAATTGTATCCTGGCTAAAATGTTTCAAGATCAAGGCAGAGTAAATGTGTCAATTTAAAATATCCAGAAAGTAGATCTCCAAAGAAATGAATACACTTAAAAATAAGCAGGGTAAGACTGGGCATGGTGGTGCATGCCTCTGATCCCAGCACTCAGAAAGGAGGGTCAGGTGGATCTCTGTGAGTTTGAGACCAGTCTGGCATAAATAGGGAGTTCCAAGGCAGCTGGAACTACATCGAGAGCCCCTGTCTCAAAGAAAACAAAACAACAGCAAAAGAATAATTGGGGAAATTATAATCCAGACTGACTATGCATACAATGAGTCATAGTCACACCCAAAGAGGCAAGGAAGGACAAAGATTTGTAAAGGTGAAGTAAAGTATCACAAGTGGTTTTGAAACAATTACAGTTGGCTACAAAGATCATCAAATAGCTGGTTTCTGTCAAAGGCAGTTGCAAGGTAAGTGTCTTTATAAAAGTGTGTGTGTGTGTGTTTACTTTTGTGTAAGGTTGTGAAGATTTTTTTAGGAGGTCATTATAATAGTTTTTATCAAGTACCTGTGTAAATGAGAACTCTTACCTATTCTCCTTTCCCCATTTTGTTAGGGTTTAGCATAAGTGATTCTGACAACTCCATTGTCATTGTTTTGGGGATTTTTGTTTGAGACAGGATCTTGATGTATAGCTAGTAGGCCATAGCTACTCACTATGTAGCCCAGGCTGACCCTCAAACAGTAATTTTCTTGCTTCAGCCTCCCCTGTCTGGCTTGATTCTGACTCCATCCATGCGGGTGAATGAGACGGAGCGATGGCTCTGTCTGGAACATGTTGAAAGTATTGCCAAGTGCGGTGATGTGAGCTTATCATCTCAGCTACTTGGAGGCTGGGGCAGAGGGAGTAAAAGCTCAAGGCTTTTACTTGAGCGTGTGGTGATGGCACACGCCTTTAATCCCAGCACCTGGGAGGCAGAAGCAGGTAGATCTCCGAGTTTGAGACCAGCCTTAATCTACGAAGTGAGTTCCAGGACAGCCAGGGCTACACAGAAAAAAACCTGTCTCAAAAAAAAAAAAAAAAAGTTCAAGGCCTACTTGAGTGACTTAGTAAGAACTTGTCTCAAAATAGAAACAGAGCTGGAGATGTAATTCAGTGGTCTAGGGTTCCTCCTTAGTTCTAGAGGAAACTGACAATTGTTACTTAGTGTCATTAATGATGAAGATTAAAAGTGAACTCCAAAGTTGCTTTTCCAGCTTCATTTAAGCATGCTTAATTCATTACCCACATTCATCACTCTGCCTTCTTTCACCAGTATATTTGTTTTTTTAAAGTAATTTATTTTTTAAAGTTTATTTGTTTTATTTAGTGTTTGACTGCATGTATATCTATGTGAGGATGTCAGATCCCCTGGAACAGGAGTTACAGACAGTTGTGAGCTGCCATGTGGGTGCAGATAATTGAACTCGGGTCCTCTGGAAAAGCAATCAGTGCTCTTAACCACTAAGCCATCTCTTCAGCCCCCAATTAATTTATTTTTTATTAATTATAATTTATTCACTTTGTATCCCAGCTGTAGCCCCCTCCCTCATCCCTTCTCAACCCACCCTTCCTCGCTCTTCTCCCCCCATGTCCCTCCCCAAGTCCACTGATAGGGAGGTCCTCCTCCCCATCCATCTGACCCCAGCTTATCAAGTCTCATCAGGACTGGCTGCATTGTCTTCCTCTGTGTGGTAAGGCTGCTCCCCCCTCAGGGGGAAGTGATCAAAGAGCCAGCCACTGAGTTCATGTCAGAGACAGCCCCTGTTCCCCTTACTAGGGATCCCACTTGGATACTGATCTGCCATGGGCTACATCTGTGCAGGGATTCCAGGTTATCTCCATGAATGGTTCTTGGTTGGAGTATCAGTCTCAGAAAAGACTCCTGTGCTCAGATATTTTGGTGCTGTTGCTCTCCTTGTGGAGTTCCTGTCCCCTCCAGGTCTTTCATTTCCCCCTTCTTTCATAAGATTCCCTGCACTCTGCCCAAAGTTTGTCCATGAGTCTCAGCATCTGCTTTGATACCCTGCTGATACCAGTATATTTGTAAAACCTATTTTTAGCTGGGCGTGGAGCACACAATTTCAATTTCAGCACTTGGGAGGCTGAGATAGAAATTGCTGAGAATTCAGGACTGTCCTGGGCAGTATAGTGCCAGCTCGGATTACATAGCAGAAAACAACAACAACAAAGCATTTGAAAAAGTCTACTGGGGCCTTTGACAACCCTCAGGAATTCAACACAAACCTTCCCCCAGCCTCTTGATCACTTGCTGAGATGTTGCACATTCCATTTAGATTTGAACCCCATCTGTCAATTCTATCAAAATCCCTCCCTACTCCTCACCCAACTGTCATGAATTCTCTCAAAGCATGTTTGTGTATGCCTGTGAGTGTATGTGTGTGTGTTTGTGTCAGTGTATGTGGTGCATTTATATGTGTGTACATGTGCATGTGTGTGTTTATGTACCTGTGTGCCTGTGTGTGTGTGTGTGTGTATGATGGCTGCCTAGGAAAGATAAGTTGACTTTTTGAAAATATTAGAAATAATCCTATAGTTTTCTAGATTTCCAGGGCAATCCAGAGACTCTCCTACAGAAACAGCAACAGAAATGATTCTGTGATTGTGCAGGACTTGGAAGTTAGGAGGGCCGTGGAAGTTTTGCAATACTCCAGTCTGGGCTATTGGGGATAATAGGCCCAAATCTAGGGAAAAGCTAACAATTCCACTGCCTCTTATGATAGAACAAATCAGGATTTTTAGATAAGAAAATCCAGGGCCAAGAGTGGGCAGATCGAAAACAGTGGTGCCTGGGCTGCTCTCAGATTTCCTGTGAGAAATCCCAGTGGAGAAGGCGCTGCTGGCTGGGTAAATGAGTCACCAGCTTTATAGGCCAAGGGAGATGGAAAGCAGATTCCAGGAAGTAAGCAAGGAGGGATCTCAGGGAAAGTTTTCCATTTTAGTGTGAAGCTGTCGAGCCACTGGAAACTCAGAGAAAAACAGTGGCGAGGAAGACTAGAGAAAGCATGTGAATCCTGGCAGCTCAGAGGACTTTGTACGTCTGGGCAATCCGGAACAAGTAACCACGATGGCACTATCTAGGCAAGGTAAGGAGAGAGTGAGAAAATATCTCGGCGCCCTCAAGCTTCTAGCTACTCACAACCCAGCAGGAATCCACTGAGCATGTCACCACACTTGTATTACTGCCAGGGAGGAAGGTTTGCAGGGTTGGGGTGGGAGTGGGGGACTCAGGGAGGGCTGGTGCGAAACTGTGGGGATTTGGGTGGCTGTTTTAATTAACTTCAAGGAAGGCAGTTTGCGGGGGGTGGGGGTGCAGAAGCACAAGAAAAAAAAACTGGATGGATCCTTTCTATTCTTTTTTTTTTTTTTTTGGTTGTTTGCTTCATAAATTTAAGGCAGAAGGGACCCTTCCTAGGTCCCAGGAGGCATTTATCCTCTTTGGCATTTTGTAGTTGTTGTTCACTAACAGAGCATTTTTGTTCTGTTTACTGAGCAAGGGAACAGGGTCCACCAAGGGGCAGGCAGAGGACACAGCAGTATCAAAAAGCCAAGGTAGAGCCGAGCATGGGGGCACATACTCAGCACTCGGGAGGCAGAGGCAGGTGGATCTCTGAGCTTAAGGCCAGCCTGGTCTACAAAGCAAGTTCTAGGACAGCCAAGGCTACACAGAGAACCCCTATCTCAGGGAAAAAAACAAAACAAAACAAAACACTCAGGTGGAACCATGCATTCTCAGAGGAGCGCTTCTGTGGTACTGGAACACAGTGATGGGTCAGAGGCCAGAGGGAATACCAAAGTGACCTCAGACTATAGTTCAGTAGTGGGGAGAATAGGTTTGGGGAGATCACTGCCCTTCCAGGCCAAGGCTGAGTGGGGGAGGTCCCACTCAGCACATTCTCTTCTGTATGACATTAGAAATAATTAAGCTGGGGACCATAACTGCTGCCACCAGCATCCTTTAGGAATCCAGGCCCTCCCTGAATGACGTGTGGCCAGCACTCCCACTGCATAGCCCTGAAGGCGAAGGGAGTCTCACTAAGATCTCATCAGATCTGTTGACCTGTGGTCACTGTATACCAACTCCCTAGGTGTCCTAGAACGGTTCACTGGGATCTAATGAGCCTGAGCTGATGGCAGCTGTTTCCGAAGGAAAAGAGCAGCTAGAACAATTCTCTTCCCATCAAGTCTTGTCAGACCTTCCGGGATCCTAACTCAGCTCACAATGGCCTCTTGGGGAGCAAAGAAGCCCAGCAGAAGAAGGTAAGTCTTAGGTTTCAGCTCAGCTTGGCCACCGGTTGATTGTGATGACCAGCAATCATGGCCTTCCTATCCCTAGGATTCAATGGTTTTTGGTATCTGGGTCTTGTAGGCATAGGAAATTGGAGAGTAGGTGGCTCATCCTACATATGACCTTGGAGTAGGGTACTCTATGTAAGAACAGGCAGATCAGGGTAGTGATAGAGGAAACAAATTTAGGGCCTCTTTAGGGCAAAGAAAAGATGACCAAGCATGGAGTCCATAGGAACTATCTGAAAGGCACTGGCATCCCAGCTGCGACCTAACAGGTAAGCAGGTGTGAGTCAGGTAAAAGAAAGCAGAAAAAGCACTCAGATGAACAGACCATCCTATACTGACAGGGAGATTGGGGTGGGGTGAAGGGGGGAGCTGTGTGCACTCAGAGACCCTGAAGCTCAGTCTGGCAGGACTTAGGCCCTCCTAGGGGGGAACTGGTCAGAGATGAGGAACCAGTAAGAAAGTGAGGAGGGGCAGGGTCCAACCTATGGACAATCCATCCTATGAAGACTGTGTTAGCTCAAGGACAACACTAGAACCAGGCAGAGGTTTAGAACAGATAGCTAAGGGGGCTGGAGAGATGTCTCAGAGGTTAAGAGCGCTGGCTGTTCTTCCAAAGGTCCTGAGTTCAATTCCCAGCAAAAACATGGTGGCTCATAACCATCTGTAAAGAGACCTGGAGCGCCCTTCTGGTGTGTAGGCCTACATGCAGGAAGAGTACTGTATAAATAATAAATAAATAAATGAATCTTTAAAAAAAGAAAAAAGAAAGGATAGATAGCTAAGGGTGGGGTCACTTGGAGACAGGATTCGGTTGATGGGGCACTCATGGTGTGGATGCTGGTGACTGCACTGTGGATACTTCCCACATGGTGGCACCAAAGGTCAACTCTCTCTTTTGGCTTGGACCTGACAGGGCAGGGGGTCACTCTGGGAATCCTCACTGTGAAGTCATGGTCCAGAGGCCCAGTGTCTAGGACACTTCCCACCTTTGCCAAGCCCTCCCCATCATGTCTCTGTCAGAAGGTTCGAACAGTAGGGTCCCCACAGAAACAACTGCACCACACTCCCTAGCCTTTACTAAAAGGCCTGGTCTAAAAGCATCCTAGGGGAACAGCTCATCCCATGACCTGGGAGAGGCAAGAACATTCCTCCCACTTGTCCCTTAGGAGAAAGGAGTCAGGAAGGAAGGAAGGAGGCCCAACCCAACTCCAGAGAGACACGGTCACCCCACCCCTTACCCATACCAAACCAGCAGGGCCCTGCTCACTGCTCCCCCTGGAGGCTTGAAACTGGATCAAGGAGGACCACAACAGAGACAAAGCTGGGTGTGCTGGGTGAGTTCCCAGGGAAGTCAGCCTGCTTGCCCAGCCCAGAAGAAACTTACACCTAGTGCGGAAGCCAGCCTAGAGCTGTCCAAATAAGCAATGGCCATGTTGCTTTTCGAAACAGTGCCAAGTTTACTGAAACCTTTCATGGTCTAAGTAAATACTAAGAGGAAAGTTCACATCAAGAGAAATTATAGCTCTAGGACGTGATGCTCTGCTGCCATAGGGAGGTGTGGGCAGCTCTCATGGGCGATGGATGCAGATATGGGCTGCTCTGGAGCTTTCTCCTCCCCACTGTGCTTGTTGTGTGGAGGAACCTGAAACTCTCAACATATTCAAAACTACATAATTCTCACTCTCTTCTGACCTTCCCTTCCACTGGCTACAGAGTGCCCACGAGCTACAGGCATTCAAGCTCTTTTTCAGCATCCCCTCACGGATGCACTATGTCATCTATTCAGGTTTGATTAAATAAATGAGTAACCAGCGTTTCAGACACAGGTTTTTCTTGCTTGAACAACTGTTTTATTGGGGGTTAACAGGGAGAGGGGAAATAAAGCTTATACTTGATATTCTGATAATACTGACAACATTACTCTGAAACCCTCCAGCCAATTCCTCCTTCCTATCAGAGTGTCCACTCATACATCATGCCCAGCATGGCCAACTTGAAGGGGAAAAAAAGTATCTCATTGTTTTTATGTTGCTTTTTAATGAGACAGTGTGCCTCTTCAAATTACATTTATTTATCTGTTGCTTTATCTATCCTGAGACTCACTCTGTAGACCAGACTGGCCTTGAACTCACAGAGACTCTGATTCCCAAGTGCTGGGCTAAAAGGTGTGTACTACCATGTCCCATTCAATTACATTATTTTAATGGTGCAGGGATGGAACCTTGCACAGGACCTTGTACCTGCTTGACAAGTGCTCTACGAATGAGCTACATGCCCAGCCCTCATTTTGCAATTTTAATGAGTAAATGGATAGGTACCACCAAAGCACCAGGAAGAAGTTGCTCCAAGAACCACAGGTAGAAATGGCAAAACTTGAACTTGAACATGGGGAGCATCCTTGGCCCATGACCTTTGACTTACATGATAAGAATTTCGATCTAATGCCAGGCGGTGGTGGCAAACACCTTTAATCCCAGCACTCCAGAGGCAGAGGCAGGCTAACCTCTGTGAGTTTGAGTTTAGCCTGGTCTACAGAGTGAGTTCCAGGACAGCCAGAGTTACACAGAGAAGCCTTGTCTTGAAAAAACCAACCTCCCCCTCCAAAGTAAGATCTAGGTTGGGACTGGAAGGATCCAAAGGATGAGTGAATGTGGGTAAGGGCATAACAGCCCCACACGTCATCCTTTTGAGCCTCCTTGTATCACCACCATATGCTGAAGTCTTTAGTAGAGCACTCTGCTGACATGTTTCATCCTTCACTAGATGTCGCACTGACATGACTCATCACAGAAAATTGGGAAATACATACATACAAACAAAAAGACGACAAACCCTTAACTATAGAGAAACGGATAGATGATAAACAAGTGTAGCACATATGTTATAACAGAATAGTTCGTTTTTATTTTTCATATTAGTGTTTTGTTCTAAGTTGTGTGCGTGCGTGCGTGTGTGTGCGCATAAGTGGGAATGTGCAGGTGTGTGCAGGTACCTGTAGAATCCAGAAGAGGGCCCTGGGACTGGAGTTATAGATTATTGTGAATCTTGCGGTGTGGGTGCTGAGAATAAACTTGGGTCGTCTGAAAGAGCAGCATTTGTCCTTAACCACAGAGCCATCCCTCCAGCTCTAACTCAGTTTATGAATGGATCTGGATAGTAGGTATAAGAGACAAAGACAAAAACAAAAACAAACCCCACATACATGATATGACTCTAGAATCCGCCAGCTTAAAGCCAAGGCTGGCATTACTCTAAGGATAAAGTCTTGCTCTTCACTCAGTTCCTAGGGCTCCTTCACCATGGCATGCATAATTCTCTAGCCACATTGGGCTTTTGTTCTCCTCTGGCAAAAAAGATTGCATCTCTTCTCTTGCCTTGAACCCTGCTGCCATCTACCTCACATGAGCCTCAGAGACCTGCTCTCTATTTGCCAAGGAATCTCTGGCAATATGTCACACTAAGGGCCCTTTCCTAACAACCTATACACACATACACACTTATACATACACAATGCACACTCACATGCATACACACACATTCACACATATACACACGTGCACACAATCTCACACATACACAGTCTTTGTTTTGGTGACACAGGAAGTGAAAAAACTGAAATCAGAACAGAACCTGTTCTGATTGTGAACTTTCAGGAACAAGGATGGTGGTGACCTTGACTCTGGTCCCTGAAAGATGGGTGGATGGTTAGGTTCTTGGGTGTTTGCTGAAATCTTGGTAAATATCTGGCCAGCAAATGAATGACATTGCCAAAGCACAGTGTGTGTGTGTGTGTGGGGGGGGGGGTGTTCTCTAAGAGCTGTATCCTGTGGGGGCTTCTGGGGGAAGACAAGAGAAGCCTCTGCTTTTCTTGGTTTTGTTTCACCTTGAATGTATAATTTCCCAATAGAGCAGGTAGCACCATGCATAAGGGCCCTTACCACCCTCAATTCCACTAAAGGGATTATTCTCAGGCCTGAGTCTACCCCTCCAAGAATGTGAACTCTTCCAGGTTAGAAGTGCGAATGTTTCCTTGCTAAGCTTCAGCTTGAAGGCCAGTGCCTGGCAGAAGATGTGCTCAGAGACTGATGCCTGAATCAGGAAGAGTGAAACTGGCCATGACTCAGGGAGCCAATTTGGAACTTAGACCTAGCCCTTTCTAACCACATGACCTGGAAAATTGTGGCCTTCTCTTAGCCTCAGGTGCCTCCTATGTGGTGTAAAGTTCTGCTGTAACCTTCCAAGGCCTGCTTGCCAGTGGCTGGAGAGAGGCCTGACAGTTCTCTAGCATTCGGTGGCCCTCAATGCTCCCCTTCCTTCAGTGCCTCCTGGGAAGGGGGGAGGGCCAGGTGAACTCAGAGGGCACAGATAAGGGTGGCATTGGGTTTGTTTTTTAAGAGGATGGGGTGAGGATACAGCATGCTAAATAGAAGACAGGTTGGGAGAATGGTCAGAAGTCAGAGGGTGGGAACTAGAAGCAAGCTGGTATGGTAGAAGCAGAGGTAATACAGACGTGGCGCGCAGTAGGTGCGAAGGAGAGAGCTCTCTAAGGTTTTCACAGTCTAGACCGCAAGGAAGACCCATTGAAAGCTCTTAAGTAGGAGAACCTATGCCTGAATTAAAGATTTAAAAGATTTCTTGGGTTGATGAATGAAATTAATTTTTGGTGGCAAAAGTAGACTGAGGGTAGCAGAAAAAAATAGTAGCCTACGTCAACATAGGAGCGGTGACAATGGACAGAGAGACACAGGACAGAGGGGCTGATTATAAAGAGCAACTGAATCATCCATTAAAAATGGGGAGATGGGAAGCTGGAGAGATTGCTTGAGAATTAAGAACATCTGGTACCCTTGCAGAGGACTCAGCATCCACACAGCAGCTCACAACTACTTGAATTCCAATTCCAGGGGATCTGACACCTTCTTCTGGCCTCCCAGGTCATCATGCACGAAAAACATTATTTATACACATAAAATAAAAAATAATTTTTTTGCTGAGTTTTATTTATTTAGAGAAAAGTTTTCACAATGTAGCCTTGGCTGGCCTGGAACCTGATATGTATACCAGGCCCGAACAGAACTCACAGAGCTCCACCTGCCTTTGCCTCTTAAATGCTAGGATTAAAGGTGTGCACTACTGAGCCAGGAGAGATGATGCACACCTTTAATCCTAGCACTTGAGAGGCAGAGGCAGATAGATCACTGTGAGTTCCTGGGCAGCTTGGTCTAAAGTGGGTCCAGGACAACCGAGGCCACATAAGGAAACCCTGACTTGAAAAACCAAACCAAACCAAAGACTAGCCTAGGCATATAACAAGACCCTGTCTCAGTGACCCAAAGACAAAGTAGCCCCATAGACAAGCACTTGCCTAGCATATAGAAAGTCCTGGATCTGATTCCCAGAAGAGACAAAAGAAAGCTAGAAGGAAAGAAAGAAAGAAAAAAAAAGACAAGAAGGGATGGGAGGGAGGGATGGCAGAGCAGATACCAATACTCGCTCATTCACTTACTCATCCAATAAATAGTTTTTCAACTCCCACTATGAGCCAGGACAATGATGATCTCTGCCCTAAAATGCTCAGAGACAACAGTCCTTAATTTCACACACAGGGCCTCTACGAGCACATGGCTTGCTTGCTACCTGGTCCTGATGCAAGGTATGAAAGGAGTTGGTCAGAAGCTTGGCAGTAAAAAGAGGGGAGGCCTCCTTCAGAGAAGGTACTTGAAGAATGTCTTATTGAAGAGGCGATCTCAGAGTTAGACAGAGGCTTAGAGATGCCAGCATTGAGAGCTTGGGCTCTGGCTACGAATGAGTGCTTGGGCAGAAATGGTGTCTTATAAGGTTAAGGACAAAGTACTTAGTTAGATAATCATAAGAATTGGGGAGAGGTCCTGGAGAGATGGCTCATCGGTTAAGAGCACTGGCTGCTTTTCCAGAGGTCCTGGGTTCAATTCCTAGCACCCACAGGGCAATTGTAGCTCCAGTTCCAGGGGCTCTGACACCCTCACACAGATATACATGCAGCCCAAACACCAATGCACATTAAAAAGAAAAAAAAAAGAGTTTTGATCCCTGGAACTCGAAAAGCCTGGTGCGGTGGGTTGCAGGTTCAAGGTCAATTTGGTGAAACCCTGTCTCAAGCAAAAAAGGACTGGTTAATCCCAGCACTTGGGAGGCAGAAGCAGAAGGATCTCTGTGAGTTTGAGACCAGCTCTGGGCTACAGAGCATCTGGGACTACATAATGAGGCTGTGTCTAAAACAAAACAAAACAAAACAACAAAACAAGAACTGAGAAGGGGGTGGGGGCATTCACAAGGGCATCCAGGGTTCTGGAACAAGCAAGAGTTCTGGGGGAAAGCCTGGAGGGTGAGAAAGATGGAAAGCTGAGAGAAGCTGAGGGTGTCTCAGGTAAGATCCCTGAAAGATGAAGGTGTTGGTACCCCAAGAGCCGTACCTTACTGGGTTGTTGAGGCCAGCCCTCAAGATCAGGGTCAGAAATCCAGGGACCTCTAAATATTTAATCAAACCATTCCTGGATATGCCTGACCTACCTCAAAAGATGAGGTGCTGTAGGAGTCAGGAGACGGGGAAGCCAAGGGGCAGAGGCTCAGGGACGCAGGGTTGGGAAGAGCTAGTAGCATCTGATTAATGGGAGGGGTAGGGGATTGGAGTCAGGCTGTTGACCCTACTGGGGGTCGGTCAGGCCAGCTGTCTAGCCCACCGTAACCCATTCCTTGGCTTTGGTCCCATGTCCAATGTGTGCTCCTAGCATGCA